ATTCTAACAAGGTAAACTGAAGAAAAAGGAGGTGGACAGTAAAGTTGGCCACACTGATTTTACCTCCTTTGGAGAGACTGCTACCTGTGCCTCCTCACTGGGCAGCACTCAGTTGGAACAGCCATCCCTGATACAGGCTCACACACTTCATGCCCCAAGAAACAGTCCCATACACCACAGTATTCTGATCCCTAGCAGCATAAAGCCTCTAAGAGAGATACAACCAAAACAGAGCTCCCATGATGATCTACTGCCACTTCGGTAGTCTCATGTCTTTCCATTAAGGTCATTTTCCTTGTCCATGAACATATATTGCCTCGTGGCATTTAGCTAAGTCATAACCCTCTCGTTACAGAGCTTGAACTTGTTCCATTACACTCACAATTATTTAGTGAGTGTAATGGAACTAGGTCAGAACACACAATCCAGTGATTCTACTACTCCTTACAAAATCATTCTTTCCCCATAGCCACTGTGTGGAAGAACATTAAAGGCAAAGGTTTGGCTATGCAATGAACCTGTAGCTTCAAAATAATTTAATTTAGAAATTTCTTACATGGTTTTGAGTATCTACTACTTGTGACTATAAATCAAAACCAGAGATGCCATCACACAATATTTGAGTTGAAGCAGATAGCCCACATTCTCTCCTGCCCCCAGAACACATCAAGTTGTTTTGGAATTTTTGAAAATAGCAAGAAACACACTAAACACCTGGACAATAAAGACCTAGCAATCTGGGATAAGAATGCAGCCCTCTTCCCTTGCTGCTTACTTAGGGAAGGTGTTATCATTGCTTTTCCCAGAACACACAGACAGCAGCAGAGCTTAGCACTTCAAACACCAGGAAAGTCAACACAGGAGAAACCAGCCTGCTTTGTCCCGGCAATAATGGTCAATGCAAAACAGGATACTGGATTCTTGAATGCTTTCTTTATTCTGCAGAAGGCAGATGAAGGATAGGCCATTCTCCCTCCTGATTTCAAACTGAGAATCCATGGCTTTACAGGGGTCTGCTCAGATATGGCTCTGAAGAACCTCATTCCCAGATGGCTCCTATTCTCCCACCTTTATGTCTGTGCTCACTTTATCTCATTGGCTGGGTGGGTTTGTGGGTGGCTGCTGTTATTTTTTTCACATTAAGTGTGTCCATGGGTCTCTCCACAACTCACACTGAGTACACTTAAAGTCCTTGGTAAATCTTGTTTGCACCTCTACTGTTCCCACCAGTTCTTTTTTCTAGAGTTCCTTCTAGAGGTCAAGAAGTTCCTTTCTTGATATTCAAACTCAAATGTTGATGATAGAAACCTGCATTTTAGGAAGAGGCAAGCAGGAATTTCTCATCAACTGAACAAGTTGTGCTATGCTTCTGGGCACACATTACAATATCTTTTTCGCATCACACCTACTCTACTAAATATACAAAACACTGTGCAAGTGATAGTTTTGTCAGCCACCAGCTAATCAAATGAAAAATTATTAGGCTTAGAAAAATAATAAAAGCAGAAGCCAGCTGTGCATTTGTTGGATGAAAATCCCAGTGTCTCCCATGTTAGCTCATGTGTATTTCAATTTCTGGGAAGAAAATAATGGGAGTTTCTCCACCCTTTCTCATGTGAGCCATAAAACAGATTTATTACCTAGGCTATATTCTGTGTTTTCTCCTGAGGAAAAAAGAAAGTGGTGGAACAAGTTCATTTTTTTCCCTTCTAAAACAAGGATTTTCCTTATAATAAACACAGAGCTTAATTTTGGTATCATATGGCCCTTCTATTTAATGCTCTGGTCACACTTTTTGCCTTTCTAAACCTTGAATTGTTTCATTTTCATTTCAGTGGGGAATCTACAGCTGCTCCAGCTGTCCGAGTGTGAAAAGTCTGTCCTAAGATTCCTATCTGGTGTTTTAAAGCAAAATCCTTTCCTCTCCTAAATCAAAGAAATTTAGCATCTACTGAAAAACTACAGAATAACTTAAACAAAAAGAAAAGCTAAACATTAGTCTATGCTTCTTTTTCAAATAGTTCTTGCTTGGCTTTACCTTACACTCAGCTGTCACCCAGCAGCTCTGGGAAACTCAGGCTGCAGACCCCAAGGTTTAGGACAGGGTTGCATCTCATCTTGGAAGGTTATCCTGTACAAACTATTTTTTTACTGTAATGGTCACCTTATGACTTTTAAAAATAAATCATGAGAAAGAAGATTTGCTGACTAAAAGATTTTATTTTTCTCCTAAAACTCTTGAATTTGCTCACAGTTTGATGTTATAGTTCTAAAAAGCTGTGCTGGTAAATCTGTTTACAGAAAAGGTGACTTCCTCTGGAACTTTAGCTTTTGAGAAGCAGAAAAGATTGGTTACTGTTTTAAATGCTCCTGAATCATTATATAGCCTGGATTCTCTAGATTAGTGGTCTAGAAAATTTCAAGACTAAGATATCCCTTTTTAAAATGACATCCAGTAACATGGCTTTCTAAAGTAAATCTTGTTGACTCTGGTATTTGTAGCCTAAATATGTTCTACAGTCTCCCATTGCTAACCTGCACTTCTTGTTTAATGAGGCACTTTCCTCAACATGGCAAACCCGACATCTCTGAAAGTTTCAGTTCTTTCAAATCCCACGATACATGAGCGTTTACACCAAGTCATAAATGCCAGTGAGATAATTTTTGAAATGACGAGTTATGCCATTATAGCTGCATATAATTAAATTGAACCATAGGAACTGCATTCATTACAGTTGTGAAATTATTTTATTGATAATGAAAAGAAAGAAAGAAAAAAGCACTTTTAATGATACAACTGTGCCAGCACAGAGCTCAAAAGGAAGCTGGCTTGCTTGGGCAAAAAATTGTGCAGGTTTTCTTTAAAGATTTGTTTCATTCTCATTGTTTTGTGATCACTTAAACTGCTCCACAGAGACCAGTAATTTGGAAACTAAAACCCCAGTAGCTGAAGAGTTTTCAACCTAATACTAATTTGAAATCCTTCATTTGTACTACCAAGTATATTCTAGTGCAGTCAAACTGCATTCTTACAAAGAGAGCAGAAATGCATTCCCACAGATATACTGGGGAGGAAAACACCATTACTGCCACTAGACTTACCTTTTTCCTTTATAAGTACATACAAACACAACAAACATGTAATACTGTATTGAGATTGCAAGTTTGTACAAAAGGAAAGTATCAGCATTACAACTTGAAAAGGATGTCCAAAAAGCAAAGTTCAACCTTTTTTTTAATCAAGTTTGTCTTCATAGAGCCAGAAAATAGCACTAGCATGCAGGTATAATCCAGCTGCAACAAGACTCTTTATTACAGAAGAGCAGTTACAGTATCTATTTTTCCCCAATTAAGACAGTGCTTCATAGAATATAATTTTGAAAAATCGGAATCTTCAGGGTTAGATTTCCCATATAAGCTAATTAGCAATGACTGCAAAAAAATAGTTTACAGTTAGTAGTGATCTAATGAAACTACATTGTTATGGCTGAGCTTGCAGAGAAATAGTACTCAAATTAAAAATAAGATCTATACAAACATGAAGCATAATATAGCCTGATGTACTTCATGGTAGAGAGCCAAAAAGATGTGTCTCTTTAGAATGTAAGAACATAAAAGGGTCAGTAATTACACAGTTCTTTGTAAAAATAAACTAACGGTATTCTAAAATGCTCAGAAAAAGCGTAAACATACTTAGTCAACAGATTCTGCTCCCTAAATACCTTACAATTCCAACATTGTCATTTCAGTGCATAAAAATAAGCCTCTACACAATTAGCCAAAATCAGACAATCTATCTGATATTAGAAACCGGCATCTATTCCAGTGCATGCACCAACATAATTTCCATCTGCAGAATCTTTATAACTGATAATCACACATCCAAGCCAGAATAAACAGAGTTGGACTTGCTGATTGCACGGTATTTTGAAAACAAGAAACAACTAGTTTACCTGTAAATCAATAAAAACGTTAATAGGAATCATTAAAAAACAAGAAGTTGCTCCAGTAGCTTTTTAAAAATCTAGTAATTTAGCTACAAATAAAATTTTAAAAAATTCTCTAGGGTTCCTGTAACTTAGGCAGACAGGACACATATTTTATGACATTTCTCAGTCATAGAGCCCTCTCTAAAAGCTTCACAGAAAAGCTGCTAAAACTGGGGATTACTGGAAGGAGCTTCGGAAGGATGACAGATCATAAAGAGACTGTGCTAAGTGTGGCAAAATGCTCCTCGCAACAATTCCCAAAAGAAAATGTTACACACATATTTCCATCTTGTGTGGTCTTTTTTTTCCAGATCACACACCATGCTTGCTTTTTACCTTTATCATTTCAAAATGAACCTGCTGAATCCGGAGCCGGGATTGTTTCCTACTCTAAACTGTCATTTAAAGGAGTTGTACAAGACATTTTCCTTATTTCAAACAACCGGCACTACCGAGGAGAAAACCACAGCAAAAGAACGCCAGTGTCGGAGGTCAGTGCGCGGATGTCCCTCGGGAGCTGCGGGGCGCATTCGGAACAACGCGGCCGCGCTGCCCGGTGTGCCCGGTGACGGGCGCTGCCCCGCGCTGCCGCCAGAGGGCGACAGCGAGCGAGCCAGCAGAGCCAGCTACGAGCCCTGACCGGGCCTGTCAGCGCTAGAGCTCTGACCGGCTCAGAAATACGTTATTTTTCATATTATCATACTGTACTTGAAAATCATGTGTTTTCTTTTGTAAATGTTTTTAGATGAAAGGTATTAAAGCACTTTTACGTGTTCCTGACACTATTGTTTTGCAAATGGTGGGGAGAGACCCACCCCACGCTGTGTCTCCCTTGGACAGAACCGTGTTCAATCCTCAGCCAAGGCTGTTCATGCCTTACCTCCATCTGCTCAAGCAGTACCTATGTCGCTTAAATACCTAAAGAATACTTGTTTCTATTGGTCATAAAAGAAGTGGGATGATTATGGGGAGTTGTAAAATTCAAACCATTAGAACTGTGAGCTCCATTACCACTAGGCTTGGTGCTGATAGTGATCTCTGATGGCGTGTATCCTGAACTCAAGGAACATACACTATCACCGCTGCTAGAGAAGCTCCTGCACAGCCTGTCCAGGCAAACTGCTGCAGAGCATCAAGGAGACGCAGACCCTAATCAAAACACCATTTTTTTCGAGCAGATGCCTCACGTCAGCCACAGATACGACATCTCCCTCACTGTTCCGGCTTGAGCTTCTTCCCACCCGGGCTGGAGTGGGGCTGTGTGGGGATCTGCAGGGCTGTGCCAGGCTCTGAGAAGCCGTGAGGGGCTCCGAGAGGCCATGAGTGGCTATGCGGGGCCGTAAGGGACTCTGAGAGTCCGTGCAGAGCTCTGAGAGGCCACAAGGGACTCTGAGGGGCCGTGCGGGTCTCTTCGGGGCTGTGAGTGGCTCTGAGGGGTTTGAGGGGCCCTGAGGGACTCTCCGGGGCCGTGAATGGCTCTCAGGGGCCGTGCGGAGCTCTGAGGGTCTGTGCGAGGCTCTGAGGGGTCGCGCGCCGCGGGCGGTGGGCGACGCT